CTTCGTCACTGTGGACTGACAGCTTCGGGCCTTGTAATATTGCACATGTGGTTTAGGCCCAATCCCAAACCACTCCCTCGACCCTACCCCTCCGTAACGGAGTGAACTCCGTCTGTAGCCACACTCGCAGCTCAACGAGGCTCCCTCCTGTCGGATGGAGGGAGTAAATACAGCAGCAAGCTTTGAGACGGCATCCCCTCTCTCCGGCAGAAACAGGGAATGCCGTAACTGTATGTAACAACGGTTTCAAATCAGCATCTCTTAGACAAAAAGTTTAAATGAATAACTCAAATAAAACTCCAAACATCTTTCATTGTGTTTCAAAGCTCTTTTAGTTTTAAACCTGATGTTTATAAGCTTCTTAGTTTTTTGCAACGGTCTGTAAATATACACAACTTTATAATAAAATGAACACATTTACCTTTTTCTAGACTAAACACAGGTATGATCCTAAGTTAAAAACATATGAGGTTATCATGAGGTTGTTAACATCGCAGTTTATAAGTGGATGTTTGCTGGAACTACTTGTAAACAGCTTGTTTCCTGACTGACACACACAGCGTGACTCCGGTCAGGTAGAGACCGGTCTCAAGTCAGCACCGCTGCAGACTCGCTGTTTGAGGGCTTGATAGCCCACTCCCCCTTCACACCGCTCCACACTCGTTGCTTTGTAACAGCCCTCAATATGGCGGACCCTCAGCGTGAACGCGCAAACGGAGGTGTAGGGTGCGGTTTGGGAATGGGAATGGGCCATAACCACTGATGTTCCGCTGTAACGGTGGTGGACTCATCAGAACAGAGTGGGCGAGCTGACCAATCAGAGCACAGTGGGCTCATTGGGAGGTGGGGGCAGGAGCTCAAACAAGCCTTTTAGGACAGAGAGTGAATCCACATACTATACAGAGATGCTGTATGAGAAACCAATGTGATTTTGGAACATTGAACAATGTAAATCTATTCTAGTAGACCAACAATGGAATTATGATCAGTAGAAATGGCCATGACATGGGACCTTTAAATGAAGTTGTTAATATCTCGATATCATATTATTTTCTTTCTCTCCCTGAGTTTTGTCGTGTTCGATTTTACTTTAATCATGTTTAACCTTCTCGGTGGCCCCTGTTATTTTTTTATTTTATATGCTTAGAAAATCAGCTCAATGAGACTTGAAATGTCAATCATGTTTTATTATCATTAAAGTTATTTTCCTCAGTTACATACTGCTAAAGTGGACTCTCAACTTATGATTTGGGAATTTGACCACGCCGTAGGGTCACAAGGCCTTTAAAAATACTTTTATATATATTTTATATATGTATGTTAAAATTCTCCCCTCCTTCTTCAGACTCTAAAGCCATCGTGGACGGCAACCTGAAGCTGATCCTGGGTATGATCTGGACTCTGATTCTGCATTACTCCATCTCCATGCCAGTCTGGGAGGGCGAGGAAGAAGAGGTAACAGAAGATTTCATTTTGACTTGTATTTGTCTCATGACTTCAGAAAAAATAAATAAAGGTGCTATGTTGAATTATTTGAAAATTCTTTGAATGTCGTGTTTGGGTAATTGGACACTGAGAACGTTGTGGATGGTCTCACATTTTTTAAAGAGACATTACAATCTATACACTCATTGACAACACAAAGCAAACAAAACATGTTCATTGTTACATAAATAAAAAAAATTAATTTTATAACCTGAAAATTAAAAAGACAATACATCACAATTACAAACCGCTGTGAGAAATGTGACTGACTGGTGCTTGTTGTTGCAGGCAGAGTCAAAGACACCTAAGCAGCGTCTGCTGGGCTGGATCCAGAACAAAGTCCCTGACATGCCGATCAAAAACTTCAGCAAGGACTGGAGGAACGGCATGGCCCTGGGAGCGCTGGTGGACAGCTGTGCACCAGGTTGTGTGTGTGTGTGTGTGTGTGTGTGTGTGTGTGTGTGTGTGTGTGTGTGTGTGTGTGTGTGTGTGTGTGTGTGTGTGTGTGTGTGTGTGTGTGTGTGTGTATACAAAACAATTTTTTACTTATGTATCTATTTTATTTATATATAATTTAATAATAATTTATATTAATAAATTATGTGTGTGTTTGCAGGCCTGTGTCCCGACTGGGAGACCTGGGATCCAGTGAAACCAGTGATGAACGCCACAGAGGCCATGCAGCTGGCTGACGACTGGCTGGGCATCCCGCAGGTTAGATTCCGCTTTAAATTACACATTTACATTTGTTTACCTTTCATTTGTATTATTCAATATTTGTATTACATTTTTTAAATCATGACATACAGACTTTTCCCTTTTAATTTAATTTATAACAGAAAATAACGAATATAACAAATTAAATTCATTATTACTGTAGCGTTGAATGCTAACAATGCTAAGCTCTAATAAATTTAGATGCAGGGGCTTTGCATCTTGCACTGTGCAAACAGCTGATGACCATCACATTATCTCTGAGTGGTGCAGCCTTTCAGAACAGAAGTAGCTCTGCTGTGATTTCCTCCAGAGGTCAACAGTCGCTGGCAGCTCCTCACAGACGCTGTTTGGTTTACACATGTTTGTTTTAAAGCAAGAGGATGCAACCTGAGCTTAAACGGAAATGTATTATAATGGCTTATGTAACAAAAGACTGTTCTTGGGGAAATGATTAGGAAAGTATTTATGTCACTTTGGAATAACTGCTGCAGATATTAAAGCTTATGTTTGTCACTTCACTTTTAAGCCCTTCCTTCAGTATATAGAACAACTCCAGCAGTTATTAAGTGAAGAAATCTGACTTCATATTCATAGTGGAATGGTAATTTGTGCCACGGCTGCATTACGTTATGCTCTGCTTCCTGTTAGTCTGCTGACACCCACAGGAAGTCTCCTCCAGAGAAAACAAAACTGAGAAACCTCACACCCATGATGGTGGAAAATTAGTTAATTCCATTCAAAGATCTGACATTATAAAGAGTTTTTTTAATATCCGACAGCTGAGCATGTGAAGCAGAGTGACGTGTGGGGGAAATGACCTGATCAGAATAAGAGGACAGGGACTGTATGGTGTGACAGAGTTCAGGACTTCCCTGCCACATACCGGCCTTTTCTGCTTTGGGCTCTTTGGTCTCAATGAAGGGAAATCTTAAAGGGAAAAGTGCCTAATCCTCATTTCACTTCGTATCGCTGCAATGTGGATAATATGTGTCAATAAATGCTTTCTAGTGATTCACATCAACGGTTTACTTCAGTTAGTAGCTCTGGGTCTCGGCAACACGGGGAGAAGCAAAGTTTGTTTTGGAAAGGTTTTTATGATCATCTTTAGTAAATGGTTCATTTATAGTACAACACTTTACTAAATCCCTATTTTCCTGTGAAGGAAAACCTTGAAATGATCAATTGTGATGTTTCCTAATTATTATTAATGCTATAATTGTTGTTATAGTGTTTTATCATTAGTTTGTCATGTGAAATAATTATATTTGATATATTGTATCATAGATGATTATAGACAGCAACAATTTCATTTTGATTTAAAGTAAAGTTGACTTAAATACATGAAATAAAATGTGATTTACTACTGTATATTTGGTATTTGTTATGGATATTCATGTTCTTCAAATCATTTCTAAAATATTACAATGATTGACCAGAAACCAATTACTATCGAATTAGAAAGTACCATCTGTCTGATCTTTTTGTTTTTTAAATTTAAATAAAAGAGATTAGCCACATACACACTGACAGTCCAAATCTGATTTTAGGGATTTTGAATGATTAACAGATTTAGGTAAGTTTATTATCCTAATTCTGACCCGTCTTGGTGTGTGTGCAGGTGATAACTCCAGAGGAGATCATGGATCCCAGTGTGGACGAGCAGTCGGTGATGACCTACCTGTCTCAGTTCCCCAAGGCCAAACTGAAGCCAGGAGCCCCTCTCAAACCCAAACTCAACCCCAAGAAGGCCCGCGCATACGGACCAGGTGCACACACTAAAACTGAAAAACTAAATGGTTGAATAGAACACACACTGTTCATAGTTCATTATATTTTTGCAGATATATTTTAAAAAGTGTGTGTGACCTATTCCTCCGAGTGTGTGAATGCTAATGGAACACTGGTCTGTCTTACAATGTGAGGAAGTGAGCAGCTGTTAGTGTGAACAAAGAAAGCCACTCTGTATCTGACACACACACACACACACACACACACACACACACACACACACACACACACACACACACACACACACACACACACACACACACACACACACACACCAAACCACGTCACATATTATATTTTTTTGACCGCTGATGTACTTTTAAACTCATGGATCTGAAACTGGATTTATTTTCAAGTTTTTATCATTATATTATTATTATTGTTAAATGAATATAGAATCAAGAGTTAGGGTGTATGAAAAAGCTCCAATATATAGTGCAGAAAGTAGAATATTGCCAAAAGTCTGTGTCATATATATATATATATATATATATATATATATAATCAGATTTATACAGACAGTTACACTGATAAATATGGATTGTCTTAAGGTCAGAACTGCAGTGTGGTCAGCAGTATAACTATCTATATGTATTCGTATGTGAGTGCAGATATACAGCAGGTAAGTGATGCAGTAAGTAAGAAGTAACATTAATGTTTACTGACTGTGTGTTGTTGTGTTCTCCTGCAGGTATCGAGCCGACAGGGAACCGGGTGCTGCGTCCGGCCGTGTTCACTGTGGACACGTTCAGCGCCGGGCAGGGGCAGGTCACCGTCTACCTTGACCATCCCGACGGCACCAGAGAGGAGGTACGGCCCCAGAATATCTGTAGAGATATATAGGAGCCATATTGAGAAACGATGTTTATCAACTCCCAGGTCTGTCAGTGATTAAAAACATTCAAAAAACTATCATGTGATAATCCTACAGATGCAAGAGGAGGTTTCATTTTAGCTTTTGTTCAAGTTAAGTTTGAGTTATTATGTTTACTTTAATATCATTTTTCATTACCATATTACTTTTATTTTCTATATGAGAATTTCTTCAAATGGAAAAAACATCTACATTTCTTAATTTCAGTCAAATGTTATTTAAAAGTATATATTTTTGTGTTTCTTCTAAATTGGGGGAGATGTGATAAGCTTATTTGGCTGTTCGTTTAGTCCTAAAAACAGTATTTCTCTGTGTCCAACAGCTGAAGGCGGAGCCTAATGAGGGCAAGAAGACGCTCAGCGTCACGTATATTCCTCAAGTCATGGGAACTCACAAGGTAAGGGTCATTTCTCTTTCTGTAAACATGTAAAAATACATTAAAAAAGGTTAAATGTATTTAGCTCTTAATGTATTTTTTCTTTGCCATACAACTGAGTAAAATTGTTTTTAAATTCAAACTTAGCTACTTAACTCATTACTTAACTATTTAAGATCTGAAATTCTGTGGAAGGAAGTTTTATCATTATCATTCATGCTCTAACATCAATGTCATTTGTTTTTGTTTCCTAGGTAACGGTGATGTTTGCTGGCCAGCAGATTCCCAAAAGTCCCTTTGAGGTGAGCGTGGACAAGGCGCTGGGCGACGCCTCCAAGGTCACAGTGAAAGGCCCGGGAGTCGAATCTGTGGGCAACATCGCCAACAAACCCACCTACTTCGACATCTACACTGCAGGTCACACACACACACACACACACACACACACACACACACACACACACACACACACACACACACACACACACACACACACACACACACACACACACACACACAGACAGTTCCCCCCGCTCATTGTTCTCTGTGTAACACACACCGGAGGCTTCTTGACATGAGTCAGCTTGTCAGGAATACTGAGTAAAAGCTTTTCCTTTCTACTGTACTCATTACAAATGAAGTCACAGTATTTATTAGTTACTTATTACATTATTTATACAGCAGAAGGAGGAACTTTTTCTGTTACGTTAAGATAAGACATTTTTGTGGACTCTGTCCTGCAGTTCCACTGAAAGTGAAATCATATTTAAATCCTTCGATAAGATGTATGCTTGCTGTAGTGTTCCTGGAGTATCACTGAGATACAAATGATGTCATTTTTGTTGTCGCTTAAAGCACAAAAGCACTGTTGTGCACCTCTGTTTTTTTATAAACCTGCTGCATCAAGTTTTTTTTTTTAAGATGTTAAGCGTATCTTTCTTTTAATCTTTTAAAAAAAAAAAAAAATCTTTTCATCCTATTTTTTTATATACCACAACATTACCCTTTGGTCAAATACCTATTTGTTTGTAAGTTTAATAGCTACTGTAGATTCAGCTCAGTGGGTGCCGGTAGTTCAGAAATCGTAATGTTTTTTATTTTAAAGATGTCATTCAAAACTGTGCAGATCCCTCTGTTTCCAGAAAAACAGAGATGTTGTCACATTCAAACTAAACCTTCTCCCCCTGAATGGCAGCGCACGCTGTTAATGTTTTACCCCTGTTTAAATTACTATAATTCGGTATTTAAGTTCAATTTCCCGCTACTTTTTCTTTTGATTTCATGCTACTCTAGACTTATACTCCAATATATTTATTTGAAGCTTTAGTTTAGCTTTTTTACTAGTTCTTTTACATAAGACATACATTCACATTTATAAATAATTTCAGGTTAAGATGAGCTCCATCTTTATCAGCTGTGGTTGAGTGCTTTTACTTTTTCAATGCTAATACTATTGTACTTTTACTTACTTAATAATTGCGCAACTTTTACTGAACTAAAAGATCTGAGCATTTCTTCTACTGGCTTAACAAAACATTTCTCTATCTGTTATCATATTTTCAGCATGGGTGATGTGTTTTCACCATTTCAATATATTCAAGTTACTGCAGTGACTGAGGTATAAGGCTGACTGGTGATGTTTCTGAGCAGGGGCTGGTACAGGGGACGTGACGGCCATGATCCGAGACCCTCAGGGCCGGCAGAACGTGGTGGAGGTGATGATGGAGGACAAGGGCGACAGCACCTACCGCTGCACATACAAGCCCACCCAGGCCGGCCCCCACACCGTCACCGTCAGCTTCGGAGGGACGGGGATCCCCAAGAGCCCCTTCAGCGTGGATGTGGGCCCCGGTGAGTCCTTTCTTTAAGCTAATGAACTTGCAGTATCCTTGCTGTTTTATCTTCACGGCTGATTGTATTTATTGTAAGTCGGCTAAATGCTGTGTATGGTAAAATAATCATGGCCCTACTGAACCTTCCTGTAATGCGTCTCCGCTCCTGATGTGTGTGTTTCTCTGGGTCTGAGCAGCCTGCATGCCGGGGGCGTGCCGGGCCACGGGGCGGGGGCTGCAGCCGGCAGGAATGAGAGTGAAGCAGGTCGGGGACTTCAAGGTGGACACCAAGAACGCCGGCAGTGGAGAGCTGAAGGTCGTCGTCAAAGGACCCAGTGAGTGTTTACACTGCAGAGTTAATTGAAAGGACTACACCCAAACATTTGAAGCTTTATTGACAACATTGACATTTTAACCTGAAAGCGACAGTGGAATCTTTGGCACCTTTTTCTGTTGTCTCTGTTAAACTGGTATGTCTGCACAACTGCAGATAAAGATAGGACTACACTAATTTAAGTGTGTTATTTGTGGCTGGTGCTGTTTGTACAATTAGTTCCCAGTGCTGCATAGGATTCTTTTAGACTTCCAATAACTCCAGAGCGCTGGAAAGTCCCCCCAAAATTGATGTAATTATTTCCAAAATTGCCACCAAAAAAATGAAATATGGTGTTGGTGGCATTTATCCAGACATGGTTGATCCCCAGAGGATACATCTTCATTTCACATTTGTTTATGAAAGGTAAATGCAGAGGCATGATCAGTTTTCCTAAGATACATTTTTCCTTTTTTAATAAATATTTTATTTATTATTATTGACTATATTAATATGTTATTGATTGTTGTATAAATTGTATTACTTATCATGTGAGGAGAAGTATTTAGTTAATAAATAAAAGGATAAAAATGTATTTAGATAATATATACATTTTTCTAATAGAAAAAAAGAAAAAACTTCAATCAATGCCTATAAAGGCACGTTTATTTATATAGCACCTTTCAACACAAGGCAATTCAAAGTGCTTTACAAAAATGAAAGACATTAATAGCATTTAAGAAACATATTATAAAATGATATCTAAAAACGCTCATTTAAAAGCAATTGTATAAAATGACATTTAAAAACACTCATTTAAAAGCAAAGCTACATGAATCACAGTTACAGTGCAGTGTGAGATACACATCTGAATGAACCCCCCTTTGGAAAATTATAATTGGACCCCATGGTACCTTTTAGTTTTCGCCAAAACTATTCCTCTTTTAATAAAGAGTGATGGCGAAAGAATATATTTTCCAAAATGTCCGGACGTTCTCTAAAGTGTGTGTGTGTGTGTGTGTGTGTGTGTGTGTGTGTGTGTGTGTGTGTGTGTGTGTGTGTGTGTGTGTGTGTGTGTGTGTGT